GCCCCCCCCCCACCGTCTCACCGCCGCCAGCCCGGCCTCCATTTCACCCGGTCCATGCGCTCACTTCACTCCTCTGCGCCCCCACGCCCACCTGCCCCCCCCACAGAGATTGTGCAGAAGGTGCGCAACAGCCAGAGGCCGTACTTCCGCCCCACCGTCGACACGCGGGTGCACAGCGAGGAGCTGGCGGTGCTGATGGAGCGCTGCTGGGCCCAGGAGCTGGCCGAGCGCCCCGACTTCACCCAGATCAAGATCTTCATCCGGCGGTTCAACAAGTGGGTGCTGGAGGGGGCCGGGCTGGGGAGGGGGGGGCTTTGTGACTCCGGGGTCAGCGGGGCCCTCCCAGACGCTCCACCTCTGATCTGCGGAGAAATGCCCCTCTGGGCACCCCCCTCCCAGAAACCAGGGGTCCGGCTCCTCCCGCACAACCCCCGCCCATGTTTTGAGCAGAACTCTCTCCTGGGGGAGAAAGGCCAGGTGGAACAGGAGTGAACTTCAGGGGGGGGGGCGGGTTTGACACCAGCCAGGACTTGGCTGAGCGGGGGTGTGTGTGTGCGTGTGCCCTGTCCAGACAGACAGCCTGCTGATTGGGGGATCGCCAGGCCCATTGCTGTGGGGCCAGATAAGAGGCATTCAGCCGCCCTCTGACCGCCGCTTGGGCTCAAGCCGAGAAAAGGAAGGGGGGGTGCATGGGGGGGGGGGGCCAGTGGGGGAAAGGCCAAGAGGATGGGTCTCTCTGTGTGTCTGTCACACTGTTGCAGCCCCTGTCACCTGTCGTCACAGGGAGGAGGAGGAGGAGGAAGGCCCTGCTGGCCCAAGCGTGGGGACTCGGAGCCGCCTTCTCCTTGGGCAGGATTGCCCTGAGAGGCCATTCGAGGCCTCAGGCTCATTCCCCTGCCCCCTCCCCCGTTGTCCTCCTCCGCAGGGAGGGCAGCACCAGCATCCTGGACAACCTGCTCTCCCGCATGGAGCAGTACGCCAACAACCTGGAGAAGCTGGTGGAGGAGCGCACCCAGGCCTACCTGGAGGAGAAGCGCAAGGCGGAGAACTTGCTCTACCAGATCCTGCCCCAGTGAGTAGCGGGAGGGGAGGGGAGGGGAGGGGAGGGAGAACCCCCCCCCCAGAGGCACCCGCCTGGCCTCTTGGTGACTCTCTGCCCTCCTCTCCAGCTCCGTGGCGGAGCAGCTCAAGCGCGGCGAGACGGTGCAAGCGGAGGCCTTTGACTGCGTCACCATCTACTTCAGCGACATCGTGGGCTTCACTTCCCTGTCGGCTGAGAGCACCCCCATGCAGGTGCCGCCCCCGCCCCCCCGCCTCTCAACAGCCCAGGCTGCGGGGGTCACCCCGGGGGGGGGGGGGTTTGGAGTCTTGTAAAGCCTGGCTCTTCTCCTGAGGGCTGGAACGCCTCCCGTTCGCCCAGGAGCCGGTTGCCGGGCGCCTTCTTCTGGCTTCTCAAAGTGCAAAGAGGGACCAGAGTGGTCCCTGCCCAGCCACCCGAAGGCTGCGCAGGCTCTAGCGGTGGTGCCTGTGGGCAGAGGAGCTCCCCGTCAGCTGCAGAGGCCCTCCGAGGCCTCCCGTGTGGCCACTGGCACCTGTGGAACGGCCGTCGTAGGTCTGCCGGCACCCACCCACCCACCCACCAGGATGCCTCCGACGCCAGGACACTTCTCAGCACAGGCCATTTGCTGCAAGTCACTTGGGCTGTGGGGGGGAGGGGGCGCACGCGCACACCTGGACTGGCTCCTGCAACCCAAGGGGAAAGGCCCCGGTACCACCTGGGACGGAGGCTGCAGGGCCGGGGCGGGGTCTGTCCTCCAAGCGAGTCACCTGCATGTTCTCCTCCCCCCCGCCCGCCCACAGGTGGTGACCCTCCTCAACGACCTCTACACCTGCTTTGATGCCATCATCGACAACTTCGATGTCTACAAGGTGAGTGGGCCCTCGGGAGAAGGGCGGGTGGGGCACCGGCATGGCAGGGGCTGAGCCGGAGGCTGCCCTCCCCACAGGTGGAGACCATTGGCGACGCCTACATGGTGGTGTCGGGGCTGCCTGTCCGCAACGGCAAGATGCACGCCCACGAGATCGTCCGCATGGCCCTGGCCCTCCTGGAGGCCGTGAAGACGTTCCGCATCCGGCACCGGCCGAACGAGCAGCTCCACTTGCGGATCGGCATCCACTCAGGTGAGCGCCAGCAGCAGTGGGGCGGGGCAGGATGGAAGCCCGCCAGGGGGCTTTGGGGAGACTCTGGGACCGCACCTTCCTTCCCTCCCTCCCTCCCTGCAGGGCCGGTGTGCGCCGGAGTGGTGGGTCTCAAGATGCCTCGGTATTGCCTCTTTGGGGACACGGTCAACACAGCCTCCCGCATGGAGTCCAACGGCGAGGGTGAGGAGGACTCTTCCTGGGGAGGGGGCCACCCCCACCTGCCTCTTCCCCAGCTGGCCGAGCCGGCCCCTCTGTAAGCCCGCTCCCCCCTGACCT